AATTATAAATATCATAAAACAGATCCACTAAGGATCACTTAAGATCGGTTTGCTCATTCTCCTGAAATTCTCCCACCGAATATGCAATTGTGCCTCCAGGTCCCTTAAGTCACTCTGTGATTAGGCCATCTTCCTACCGAGACCAGCTCAGCCATAGAGACCCCCACCCAGGCAGCACTGAAGGAATTTAGAAGCAGACACCCAGATAGAACAGCGAAGTGGGTCTATACAGGGGGCCAGCAGCCTACTGAGCTGAGAGCCTGGGCTGACAGCATTCCAGGCTGAGGGCCGGAGCAGTCCCTGACCCACGCATTTATTTTCTCTGAACAGGTGATGGTTATTAACAAACAGATGTTCGGTATTTTCTCATAACAAAAATATACCAAGTAGGCAGCTGGTGCCCACTTACCACTGATCACAGACAAACTAAAAAGTTTTCTCCACGAGGGACCCTCGGGGGCAGGGTCAGATACCCCACGCTTAAAGAATTGTTTTAACCGGTGTATGATATTCGTATACTGTCTTGCCGCTTTAGAACGCCCGAGCAGTTCTCTACTTAGCAGAGGCCAGCTAGGTTTTCCTTGCCACTGTTCTTAACAAACGATATATTTTATCATACACTCAGCATTTCTCAACAACTACTGATACACAGTTAGATGGAACTTTGGGGTACTTTTTAATCATGCAAATGTAGAAACCTAGCCACGACTTTTGTGTTTTTTGAGACAGTTTTGCTCTTGTCACAGGCTGGGGTGTAACGGCATGATCTCAGCTCACTGCAACCTCCGCCTCCTGGATATAAGTCACTCACCTACCTCAGCCTCCTGAGTAGCTGGGACTATAGGTGTGCACCATTATGCTGTGCTAATTTTTATGCTGGGCTAGTTGTTTGTTGTTGGTTTTGAGACAAAACAGTGTCACTCTGTTGCCTGAGCTGGAGTACAGTGGCGTGATCTCAGCTCACTGCAGCCTCCACCTCCCTGGTTCAAGCCATTCTCCTGCCTTAGCCTCCTGAGTAGCTGGAATTACAGGCACCTGCCACTAAGCCCTGCTAATTTTTTGTATTATTAGTAGAGACGGGATTTCACCATGTTGACCAGGCTGGTCTTGAACTCCTGACCTTGTGATTTGCCTGCCTTGGCCTCCCAAGATGCTGAGATTACAGGTGTGAGCCACAGTGCCCAGCATTTTTTTGTATTTTTAGTAGAGACAGTGTTTCACCATTTTAGCCAGGCCGGCCTCAAACTCCTGACCTCAGGTGATCTACCCTGCCTCAGCCTCCCAAAGTGCTGGGATTACAGGCATGAGCCATGGCGCCTGGCCCCTATCTAGGACTTTTAAGTGGATGTTTCTCTGCCTGAAAGCAAAGTTGAAGTGTTTATTTTACAGCACCTTGTAAACAATAACTGTAGACCCTAATATTTGTTGTGCCACAAACTTCTCATCCATAGTTTCTCCGAGTGAAGGTATTGATGGGGAAATGTGAAATTCAGAGAGGCAGACACAGGCCCAGGCCACACAGCTGTGGAGCGGCAGCATCGGGTGGGCCCTGTGTCGGCTTTGCAGTTCTGCCTCGTGTGACGTAAGCTGGACTTCATTAAAATAAAAAATTTCTGCTCTGCAAAGAAAACAAAGACAAGCCACAGACTGGAAAAACATATTAGCAAAAGACATCTGATAAAGCACTGTTATCCAAAATATACAAAGAGCTCTTAAGACTCAATAAATAAGAAAACAACCTGATTACAAGATGGGTCAAAGACATCTCACCAGAGAAGCTAAACAGGTGGCAGATAAGCACCCGAAAAGATAATCCCAGGATCAGTGCAGTGGCTCAGGCCTGGAATCCCATCACATTCAGAGGCCGAGGCAGGACCGTCTCTTGAGCCTAGTAGTTCAAGACCAGCCTGGACAACATAGCAAGACCCCATCTGTATTTCTGTATGAGATATATCCACATCATATGTTGTCAGGGAAATGCAAATTTACACAGTGAGCTACCACTTCATACCTGTAATAATGGCCAAAATCCAGAAAACTGGCCAAACACCAAATGCTGAGGAGGACGTGGAGCAACCAGAGCTCCCATTCGTTGCTGCTGGGAATGACAAGCGGCGCAGCCACGTTGGAAGACGGTCTGGCAGTTTCCTAATAATAAAACCCACTCCTAGCACGTGATCCAGCACTCTCAGTCCTTAGTATTTACCCAACCCGCAAACAGATGTTTATAGCTGTAAACCAAAACTAAAATTCCAAGCCCCTCAGCTGACTGAATGCAACAGCCTCTCAGCCAGGGGGACCCAAAGGAACCTGAAGGTTCAGGCCATGATGGGCAGTAGGGGTCGGCCATGCCTCATTATACTCTCTTCCCTTTGGAATTCAGGCTCAGCTGACTGGCCTTACAACAGAGCTCTGAAGACTGACAGGACAGACTCTGTAGAAATAAGACATAAAATTCCAACCTGACTACAATATAGCATCACACGACAGATGGATGGCAGGTCATGAAAGAAACTGAAATATTTTACCCCAAAATGTATTTCTTTGACATATTTTGGAATGGCCCTGCACAGCTGTCTCTTGTGGAGGAAATTTGCTTTCTGTAGAGAATCTTTCCTTTACCAGGTCATTTCTGAAGAATTTAGCATCTTTTAGAGGTCCACGTAGGAAACATGTGCCGTCTATGGTCTCTCAGGGCAGCCATCTATGAAACTTCATCTACATAACAAGCAGCTTGGTCGCCACAACATTTTATCTTCACTGAGACCCTCCTTTCTGTTGATTCCAGGTTTTTGGATAATAACAAATGGTTAATCAGAAAATCTTTGAATTCACCTATGATTTGTAAGCCATCCCAACCCCTCTATGAGCTGCACACATAGACAAGCAGGCTGGGAGCTTGCATGGGTGAATGGCCACAGGAACTGGGGACTAGACATGTTCAAGATGACAGCTCCATCTTCCCATCTCTGCTAGCCATGTGAACAGTACCAAGCAGACAAGACGATGCGGATCAACTGGAAAGCCTATTTGCATAATCAGATTAGGGCAGGGCCACCAGCCTTCCCCTCGTGCTCTGTAAACGTCACACCTGATAGAACCAATCTGTGAGTTCTATGTAAATCAGACTCCGCCTCCTCAAACCTGACTATAAATTCAGCGCATCTGGGTCCACCAGGCCTTTCCGCTTGGAGAAGAGACAGCTGTGGCTGTTTCTCTTCACTTCTGCCTATTAAACCTCCGCTCCTAAACTCCTCGTGTTTGGCCCTGTCCTAAATTTTCCTGGCGCACAACAATGAACCCCAGGGTATATATCCCAGACAACGTAGCTGCTTCAAGGGATTGGAGTGAGGAAGGATTGAATCAGTGGAGCCCAGGGGATTTCGAGAGCATTGAAACTTCGTGATGATACTGCGGGGGCCAAGCGAGAGCTTTCCTCTTCATCTTCTGAAGGGCCACTGCAAAATCACTAGCATGGGGCACATTGACTAACAGGGGAAAGAGCATGCATATTTGTTTAACGTGTATACACGGGAGCCTTTGAAATGAAGATCCAACTTCCCAACAAAGCACAGAACTTAGATGCCATCTTGAGGTTACACAAAGAAAGGGGGATCAGAGCATGGCCAAAACTAAGTTACAGGTTGGGTGCGGTGGCTTATGCCTGTAATCCCAGCACTTTGGAAGGCCAAGTCGGACAGATCACTTGAGCTCAGGAGTTTGAGACCAGCCTGGCCAACATGGCAAAACCCCGTCTCTACTAAAAATACAAAAATTAGCTGGGTGTGATGGCACATGCCTGTAATCCCAGGTGCTTAAGCGGCTGGAGAAGGAGGATCCCTTGAGCCCAGGAGTTCAAGGCTGCAGTGAGCTGTGATTGTGCCACTGCACTCTAGCCTGGGTGACAGTTAGACCCTGTCTCTAAAAGCCCAAAACACCTGAAATCTCTGGACTCCTGGTGATTATGACGTGTCCATGAGGGTGCATCAGGTGTAACAGATGTATCCCCTGATGGGGATGTTAATAATGGGGAGACTAGGGTAGGGGAAGGACATATGGGAAATCTCTGTAACTTTCCTCTAATTTTGCTGTGAGCCTAAAGCTGCTCTAAAAATGTATCTATTATTGACCCAGCAATCCCATTACTGGGTATATACCCAAAGGATTATAAATCGTTCTGTTATAAAGACACATGCACATGTATGTTCATTGTGGCACCATTTACAAATAGCAAAGACCTGGAACCAACCCAAATGCTCATCAGTGATAGACTGGACAAGGAAAATATGGCACATACACACCATGGAATACTATGCAGCCATAAAAAACAATGCATTCTTGTCCTATGTAGGGACATGGATGAATCTGGAAACCATCATTCTCAGCAAACTGACACAGGAACAGAAAATCAAACACCGCATGTTCTCACTTATAGGCAGTTGTTGAACAATGAGAACACACGGACATAGGGAGGGGAGCATCACACACTGGGATCTGTTGGTGGGGCTGGGGAGGGACAGCGGGGGGTGGGGAGGTTGGGGAGGGATAACAGGGGAGAAATGCCAGCTATAGGTGACGGGGGGATGGAGGCAGCAAACCACATTGCCGTGTATACCTATTGCAAACCCTGCATGATCTGCACATGTACCCCAGAACCTAAGTTCAATTTTTAAAAAGTCGGGCCTTCCTTTCCCTCTCTCCTGCCCCCAGCTCTCTCCCCCACCCTCTCCCTCTCCCTGCTGCCTCCCCTCTGCTCTCCCCTTTCCTTCCCATTGTAAATAACGCTGCAGTGAATATCCTCGAGCACAAAGGGTCTGTCTCCCAGTTCAGAATTACCTCCTTTGTTTACAGCAGGTTCTCAGACCTAGAGCAGCTGGGAAAAGGCCTGAGGCAAAGGCATTTGCTCTGGGGCAGGCCCCTTCCCCATGGCTGAGCTCCTCCTCCTGCCCTCTGGCCTTTCCCCAGCCTCCCTTCACCGCTAGGGCTCCTGAATTGCTACAATGGTCGACAGAGGGACAGATGTGGCTCTGGGGGTCCACTGGATCCCCGGGGGCAGCCGCAGGGGTGGCAGAGCAGGGATGTGGTCAGTGTGGGAAGCACAGGCTCCAAGTCTCCTGGGGGCTGGGAGGTCTCTGGCTGCTCCCACCTGTCCCCACCGCTGGAGAGGGCTGTGCAGTGGCTGGAGCTGCCACTGAGTGCCTCGGTGAGGGTGACTTCAGACTGGCTGAGCTTCTTAAAGGCCCCATCTGAAGATGTTGTTCATGGATGTTTCACCACTCATAGCCTTTCCTGGCTCCGGGAGTAATATGCAGTCACAGAAAATACAAGTGGCCTCCTCCTCCTCCACGACCTCACGCCTCGTGCTCACGCCTCCCACCACCTCTTCTCCTTTCCCTCCCCTTCCGTCTCTCTGGTTGAGCCCCAGGGCCTTGGCTGGGCCCTTTCTTTCCTCAGGGAAGCCCTCAAGGCTGGACTAGACACCCCCACCCCCAGCCCCACTGCATCCCCCTGAGCCTTTCATCCTCCCACCCAGGACACATCAGGCTGCATGCTGACCCCTCCCCACCCTTGAGCGAGGCTGCCTTGTGCTGCTCTGGGACCTGCACCCAGCTTGGACTGCCTGATTTGTGGGCCTCAGGAGCAGCTCATACGGATAAGGTCAGCCACATGGGAGGGGTGCCTGGCAACATGTGGCCCTCTCTGTCCCAGAAGTCATGTGCTCGGTCCCCTGCGAAGCCCATTTGGGGACCTAGGGGCAGGGCATGGAGACAAAGTATGACATTTTCTCTGACAGTGACGCCAAGCCCTGTGAACTAACCAGAAGGCAGCGTACTGTGCGCCCTGCCCGGCGCCGCCACCCCCTTCCTGCCCGCCACCATGCCACCTGCCTCTGCTCCCAGGTAAGCGGTAACCTGCACAGGTGCACCGTGGGTTTTGGAGAAAGTGGATCATCCCTGCACCAGAGTGAGTGGTGGGGAGGGGATGTTGGAGAGCACATGACCCAGCATGTGACCTTGGCCCCAGCTCAATAAATACCCGAGGCTCAGAGGGAGGGCCACCCAGAGGCTGACGCACACCATGGGGCGCCTGCAGCTGGTTGTCTTGGGCCTCGCCTGCTGCTGGGCAGTGGCCAGTGCCGCGAAGGTAAGAGCCCAGCAGAGGGCAGGTCCTGTCTCCTCCCAGCTCAATCCTATCTGGAAACTTGGGGCCAGGCTGAGGAAGAGAGCCCAGCACAGCCCCGCAGCAGTTCCCGGGCGCTCACCCTCATTTCTAGGGGGACAGGTGCCAGGTAAAACACAGGATGCCCAGTTCCATTTGAATTTCAGATAAACTGCCAAGAACTGCTGTGAAAGTATCTCCCATGAGATATTTGAAACATATGGGTCAGGAGCTGTGGCTCCCGCCTGTAATCCCAGCACTTTGGGAGCCCGAAAAGGGTGGATCACTTGGGTCAGGAGTTGGAGACCAGCCTGGCCAACATGGTGAAATTCCGTCTCTACTAAAAATACAAAAATCAGTCAGGTGTGATGGTGTGTGCCTGTAATCCCATCTTCTTGGGAGGCCGAGGTGGGAGAATCAGTTGAACCTGGGAGGGGGAGGTTGGCCTGAGCTGAGATCACGCCACTGCATTCAAGCCTGGGTGACAGAGTGAAATGCTGTCTTAAAAAATAAAAAAGAAAAAGAAAAAAATGAAACATACTAAAAAAAATTCACTGTTTACTTGAAATTCCAATGTAACTGGCTAGGCCTCTTGAAATTGTGTTTGCTAAGCCTGATGATCCCGCCTACAAACCTCTCTGAGGTTGAGGTTGTTCCCATTTTATAGAAGGGGAAATGGGCCCAGGGCCTGGGAGTGTGGAAAGCTGGCAGAGGGGATAGAGAGGCAGGCAGAGGGGACAGAGAGAGGCCGGCAGAGGGGGTAGAGAGAGGCTGGCAGAGGGGATAGAGAGGCAGGCAGAGGGGGTAGAGAGGCAGGCAGAGGGGATAGAGAGACTGGCAGAGGGGGTAGAGAGAGGCAGGCAAAGGGGGTACAGAGGCTGGCAAAGGGGGTAGAGAGGCTGGCAGGCCGTTTGCCCAGCGTTGCACAGCTGCTACCTGTTTTTCCTGAGCAGGAACCCAAAACCTGGGCTACTCCACACGGGAATCCCGGTCCCTCCAGAGGGAGAGCTGGCAGGCAGGAGCTCCCTCCAGGCGTATCAACGGGGTGACTTCAAGCCCAAGGGCTGCCCAGCTCAGTTCCCTCAGGGACAGCGGGTAGATGAGCACCAACCTCCAGGCTTCTTGTGGGGATGGACAGATTGGTGCACAGAGGCAGTCCTCATGGCACAGGGAAGGGTGGAGGGTCCCTAGGGGGGGATCTTTACCAGCAGGGGTCCCAGGAGCTATGGGGACTTGGGCGTGGGGCCATCGACTCTGTACCCAGCCAGCTAGGCCCTGTGCTGGAAGATGAGAGGGGGAAAAAGGAGGCCCCACCCCTCAGGAAGGAGGAAGTTTGGTGTGAAACTTTCCGGGGACACTGAGCATTGGGTACGCTCCTGCCAGGAGCCGGACAGGCCTCCCATCTGATGGCAAACAGGCCGACAGGAGGCACAGCTGTGGCTCGTCTTCCACATGGGGAAACTGAGGATCATAGTCAAGGCCCGGCAGCCATGGCCAGAACCCACACCTCCACCCCACTTCCTGGAGGGCTGCCTAGTGGGAACACTGGTTGAACCAGTTTCCT